TTGAGTTGGCAAAATGTCATGTTTGCCCCCCCAATTTTTTTGTCTAGGTCCGTCCCTGCAGATACGAGAAAAAGCTGGCAGTACCCTTAGATCTGGAAAAACTTAGGACGGACCGGCGAGATAAGGGATATAGATACTAACACTGACCGAGACCAAAATGAAAGAAAAGAGAGAGATGATGCTGAACGAATACTTCTTAATATTCGGAGGAGTAGGTAGAGGTGGAAGAAAGAGCGACGGCAAGCGTCGGTTGTATAATAAGAAAGGAGTTGATACGGTGCATAAGGAAATTTGAAGCATATAACGAAATAAAGTTGATAGTTGAGATGGAAAACGCCATGGGAGAGACCAATACAATAATAGTTACTTACGGACCTACTGAAGACGAAAAAGTAAAGAGGAAAAACAAATTAAATTTGGGACGGTCTGAACATAGCGATAGAGAGCAGTAGAGGAAAGGTTTACATGACTGGAGAATGTAATGCAAGAGTGGATAGAATTACTTAGTACATGGAAGTCGAAAGTAATGGGGAAGTGTGGTGAAGAGAGAAGAACCAACAACGGAACACAACGACATACATAAATTCACATGGATAGGCAAAGGAAAGGACAAAAAATCATTAATAGATTACATACTAATCGAAAGGGAAAATGAAGGCGAGATAAGAGACGCACAAGTTTGAAGGGGACCCAATATAGGTAGGTATATCGACCATTATATGCCGCGAAAATGAAAGTGAAGCAGAAGACGCAACGAAGAAAGAATACGAAACAATAAAACATTATAAACTAAAGACGGAACCGCAAGGAACTATGAACAACGCGTTACAAGGAAGATAATAGAAAAATGGGCGAATAAGAAGAATACAAGAGTGAATGAGTTGTGACATAGCTACAGGACGATATTCGCTGAAGAATCTTGTGTAGTAATCAAAAATTACAAGGGAAACTCCAAACAAATCGCGTAGTGAAACGAAGAAATTAAAAGACAAATAAAAGCAAGGAAAAACAAATGGAAAAAGTATGTACAAAATAGAACAGTGGATGCATATTAACCATACAAAAAGGAACGAATAAAAGTAAAATATAATAATAATAATATGCTCGCCGATGCAAAAGAAAAGTGCTGCAAGAAGAATTTTTTATTCAATGGCAGAGCATATTTTAAGCTATAGGTAAAGTAGGGACACCAGTGCCGTCTAGTAAAGATTTTTTGTCGCCCAGTAGTATGTAAGGATACCAGTAGCAAAAATTTTTCAGCTATCTTTCAAAAGCAAATTGGTGGTCTGTCCGAGAGATGTCCTAGTGAGGCGACTGGAGCCCCCAAAAATTTTACACTGGAGTGGAGACCCCAGTATGGCACACCGATGCTGGGTTCAGTGTCGCCTAGTGGAAGTTATTTAAAATATACTCTAAGATAAAGCGCATTTTTTAAACCGAAGTAGCTCAGTAAGTATATTTGGGTTATAAGGTAGTAGCATGCTATATTTACGAGTATAAATGTTGGTAGATTATGAGGAGTGGGATCTTTACACATGAACATTTAAAAGACGCCTGGCATACATTCAAAATCTACGCTATATAATGCAAGAAGAATCAAAATCATTAAAGAAATCTCAGAAATATTGCATTTTCTTTTGTAAGTGCGTTCCTCTAATATTTTCGAGATATTCACGATTAAGTTTTTGCATCGCCAATAGATGTGTCTCGTCTAGAAGATCTTTTCACCCCTTGAGAGTACCCTCCTCCAACACTCCGTTCTGCAGAATTTTGCACTGAAAGTTTTGACATTACCAATAGATGTGTCTCGTACAGAAGTTCTATTTGCCCTTTATGAATACCCTCTTCCGATACTTCGATTTCAAGATATTCGCTTCGCCAATAGATATATCTCTTCCAAACGATTCATTTTGCCTTTGTGAGTACTCCCCTCCGACAAACCGTTTTCGAGATATTCGGTTGCTATCACTAATGAATATATTCCTTCCAGACGTCCCAATCGCCCTTTGTGAGTACCCTCCTCCGACAATCCGCTCTTGAAATATAAGGAATTATGACCAAAGGGTCGAGGAAGGGGACAGGGGGACTATGATTGGTAGAAAATGATTCCTTTCCTTGAGACCTTACATCAGAATACCGAGGTTAGAGCGTGTTATGGACGTTTTACTTTCAAACACAGCATCTCAGAAAATAATTCATGGGGGAGGAGGGCCTTAACATAACCAAATGTAATCGCCGTCTGGTACACCTTCAAGGTATAAGCAAAGAGTAACTAATAATATTCTTTGGTATAAGCTACTATTGCAAAAAATCCAGGACTGTAGGACAATTTTTCCAAAAGTAGTTCAAAACCACAGAAGTGGGTCCGTACGGCCGTTCAGACGGACGGACGGACGGACAAAACGCAAACAATAGCTAATTTTTTTTAATTCTTAAGAAATGCGCTAAAAAAGAAACATACTAACGGAAGAAGGAGCAATTATAGACCGGTGGAGAGTGTATTTTAAGAAACTGCTGAATGGACACTCCTGGACACGATAGAGTAACAGTGGAAATGATGAAGAAAACTGAGGAAAAGTGTGTTGAATTGTTCAAAGAAATATGCAATAAGACATGGAAAGATGGCACAATACTAAAGACTGATTGGCAGGAATAATAGTACCCATACACAAAAAGGGAAATGCAGGCAGAGAGACAAACAGATAGAAATACAAAATTATAAACGTTCTCGAGGATGGTTAAGGATTTATTCTAAAGTGAGGTTGTTCAAAACTTAAATATAATTTTTTTTTAATGTAATTGTACACTCGACCCCAAAATTGACAGCTTTATAAAATTTTCCGGGTCTATGTATCATGAAACACTGGAAAAATTTTCGTGCTCATGTGGAGTTCTAGAATAATTACGTAATTACCCATTATTCTCGAAATGCCTTGAAACATATTTAATTGTTTTGTGAAGATTTGTGCGCCTATCCTATGTGCTATTGTGGTTACTTTGTCAGTGTAACCAGTCCGTCCGCCCTTGGACAGTGTGACTGTATCCCTGATCTTGAGAGATATTACCCCACTTTATAGCACGTTTTTGAAAAAAAGTAGTTTCAACATAAAAAGTTGCCTTCATAACAGGGACCCGGGCCCAAATGAAATATCGGTTCCGGTTCTGTTTATATTTAAGCGAAAATATTTATAACGGTTCCGGTCCAGTTTCGGTTCTAAAAAGAAATAACGGTTCGGTTCTGCGCATTTTTTTCGGTCCATAACGGTTATTTTCGGTTCTAGTTTTTCAGAAAGTATGGCATTCAAAAAATTCATTATAACAATGTAATTTGTTAGTTAATAGGTGTGAAGAAAATGTCATGAGTACCAAAACTTGACGTCTCGTCAGTGTAGCTAATTTATAACGACAAGGGGAATAAAGGAGGAAGAAGGAAATATGTATTTACACTTAACTTATTACTAAAAAACAGAAAATTTTATTTTCTAAATCCTCGTCCCTCCTTTTTTATTTTTTTTAAGTAGTGGCTAAATTAGCGCCACCGCCACCTGATATGCATTCAATTTGCACACCTTATTAAAAATTTATAATCCACCGATGGCACTCATAGAGTAATATTTTATCAATTTTCAGGACGTGGTTGCCGGCGTGTCCTTCAACTTCCAATAACCTGTTAAGAACCGTAACAAACCGAAAAGAACCGAAAAAAGTAATATGGGTTCCGGTTCTCAATACGTTTCCATTTCTGAAGTAATAACGGTTTCGGTTCGGTTTTCGGTCCACAAAAAAATACCGGTTTCGGTCCGGTTTTCGGTTCTTTTTCGGTCCGGTCCGGGTCCCTGCTTCATAATAAAACTGTAGCATGATACTAGTTCGCTAATAATAAAACCTCGATCCGTCGCACAAAAACGCGCATAGAGTACTTTCTAAATTGTTTGGCTATTTGGATTGTTATGAAGTAGAGGCTTGCACCAAGGAAGAGACTTTGTATGCAACTTACAAAAAAAGTTAGGCAAAAAACCATTGTCATTACTTTGGGCCATTATTTATTCTGTGCACGTGTTTAAAAAATGGATTACGTCGGCGCATTTTTTTTTTATTTATGGACGGATTTTTCTGAAATTTTAAGACAAAATTCTTCTAAAAAATAAACCGATACAACGAAATATCGAAAGATCTTCATTATTACAATCACTTTTAACGACAATGTATTTTAATCTTACAAAATACATTTTATAGTTAACAAAATTGCATCAAGTTCATGTCTTGGTCATTGACATAATGCTCTTAATCTTGTTCCCAACGATATCAGTGCAAGAATAACAATTTTGACATGTTTTGATCAAAATCCACGTGGTGCATAAAAATAGATCAAATTCATGTTTTGGTCATTGAGATAATGCTCTTGGTATTTTTCCAACGATCTTGGTGCATAATAACGATTTTGACATGTTTTGATCAAAATCCACATGGTCGCCAAAAATGCATTAAATTCATCAATTCAATCCTGGACATTGAGATAATGCTCTTGGTTTTTTTCCCAACGATCTTGGTGCATAAATAATGATTTTGACATATTTTGATCAAAATCCATGTGACCTCAGAAAAATCTTTGAATCACACACACGCGATTACCAAATACGCATATGATGTACTCTTTCAGCATCAAGATAATCAAATCAAAAAATCGATTGTATATCTGCAGACTGGTGTTCTAATGTAGGTAGGTACTGGGATATTTGGTTTTAATAGCGATCCTCGAGATCGTTTATAATTTTGTATTGCTGTCTGTACGTCTGTCCGTTTGTCTATCTGTCCGTCTGTCCGCCCGCGTATACGGAAATTTTTTTGAGAAACGTCTGATTGCTTTGCAAATTGGTACACGTTCCTAATGATATAAGAAAGGTTTGCCAAGCGTGTGGGTGCGGCCTTAGATCATATTAGATCATACATATTAACATCTAAGAGTGCGGCGCGGCGTAAGGATATCAAAACTGAAAGCATTTTTTTCATTTCTATATTTGACAAAGTAAGACCTCACAATGCTATACCTACAAACATAATTGGAACAGTAGGTTTAGGTATTTAGAATTCCTCGTTAAATGGATAATATTGGTGAGATGACGCCCTAAAATGGGAGTATTTTAAGAAAATCATTTTGAGATCAATTAAATGTTTTAAACATACCCAGAAGGCCGTATTAACCTTAAATTACGGTTAAATGTGTCAATAACACTAATATCTTCACTTGAAAGTTCAAAATCGAATACATTAAAATTTTCTTGAATTCTAGATTTAGTCACTGATTTTGGGATGACTATGTTGCCCCTTTGGATCTGATATTTTATTACCACTTGTGCTGGTGTTTTGCTATATTTCTTTGCGATCACCTCCAGCCGTAGGTCTTTTAACAAAACTGGATCCTCTGGATTAATGCCCTGGCGACCCGGAGATGCTAAAGGGCTATAAGCCGTTATTTTTATCCCTTTGGAATTGCAATAGTCAATCAGCTGTCTTTGGTTTAAATAGGGATGACATTCGACCTGCAATAGAATATGCAGGGTCATTTTCTTGCAGCAACGACCAAACTTACTTGATTTACTGCCGGAACAACGCTTGCTTTCTCAAGAAGGCGGCCAATTTGACGACTGTTAAAATTACTTATACCAATAGACTTTGCTAAACCTTTTTTTTTAATTTCTTCCATAGCTTGCCACGTATCGACATAGTCATACGGTGACGGTACTACAGTTCCATCGGGTCCTGTTGGCATGTTTTGATCTCCCTCCTAATAAAAAATATACTAACGCTGATGTGCACAAGTCATATTTACTTACTTTATACCCCATCGGCCAATGCATTAAGTAGAGATCTAAGTAATCGACACCCAAATTTTTTAATGATTGTCTTACGGCAGATTCGACTATTCCGGGCCGGTGGAAGGTATTCCATAACTTACTGGTTATGAACAGGTCACCTCGCTTAACCGTACCATCCAAAATTTTTGCAGAAATACCTGCGCCCACTTGCTCTTCGTTTCCATAGGCAAAAGCGCAGTCTATGTGGCGGTAGCCAATATCGATCGCATCTTTTACAGCCTGAGTTACCTTTTCTGGAGGAGACTAAATAAAATGTTACTTATGTACCTACACTTGCAGTTTCTGTATTAAATTTATCAAACCTTCCAGGTACCTAAGCCAAGTGCAGGTATTTCTTCTCCGTTATTTAACTTAACGATAGGTACAGACATCGCTATTGTACTAATGTTTATCACTTCACAGTTTTTTTTGTTTAGAATAAGCTTACCTATATATAGGCAAAGGGAAAGATTCATAAACAAGATATCGGTTATGCGGTTACTGCATGGCCAATTTATTATTATTCGGTTTTAACAGTGTCTTGTAGGTACATATTTACTTACTACAGTAGGAAAATCTGGTACATATCTAACCAAAATAAAGCTAGCAATACGTATAATACCTATTCAGTATTAGGCACAACTTAACGTTTACGTAATCCAGTTTCTCAAATCCATCCCATTATATATAATTACTTTTGGCGCATTTTCTTTGCAGAAGAGAAATATTTTGAGCTTCATTATTTATTAGAAAAAGTAATCTGGCAGCTATCCATTTGTATTAAATGGTTAAACCATAGTTCTTTTTGTCGGTGTAGGTACATAACTATGCCTACTTTTTAGAGTATGACAGAAATTTTATACTTCTTCAAAGATATCTAGAAAATTGAGATCATTATTTATGCGCAAATTATGTTAAACCATTGGGTTAAATTTATTCAATGGTTAAACTCATTGTCTCTCCAAATCTGCTGCTGTGCGCTGCCAAACGCTTGTACGATCGACAATTAATTAGTGAATACTTATAAGCAAATTTCCCAGCCTAATTCCTTACCCCAAAAGAAAAGGAGAAGGCCATAAAGCTAAGAAGTTTTTGACGTTGGACAGAGAAAATGTGAATACGTTTTTAGTGAAAGTTAGTAACAAAGAACATTTGTTAAACAAGGTACCTATACCTGTCTGTTAAGGGTACGCCCTGAATAATAATTTACTATTTTTAGGTAGTTCTTATATTCGGAGTAGCTGGCGGAAGCAGGCGACAGGAATTACCTAGTTTCATTGGAGACCACGAATATTGAAGATCATAAAACTCACTTTATAAGTTATAACTTGTGGAAACGAAAACAAAGACGGATCGATCTTTCATGATTCTGCCGGGAAATCTTGAAAATTTGGATTTGTTAGAGTTAATTCGAAAATACATGGCACTTCGTTCTCCAAAGACGCCTCATCGCAGGTTTTTCATGAACTAGGTGAAGGAGAAATGCACGGTGCAACCAATAGGGGTACACAACATTGCAAGATGTACCAAGTATTGTGGCCAAATTATTAAAGTTAGAAAATCTATCGGCGTACACGTGTCATTGCTTTCGTCGTACATCGTACATCGGCCAGCATTCCGGCAAATGCTGGAGCACGACAGGAGGATATACCTAAAGCGCCATGGAGGATGGCGTTCATCAACTATTGCGGCAGGCTATATTGACCAATGTGACAATTCTAAAATTAGATAGTGTTGCCAGCAACATTTTGGGAATGTTATGGCAAATTCTTCGTTCATAAATTTAAAAGCCGTAGAGACCACAGAAATATTAACATCAAAAGGATACATCGGGATTTAACATTACCAACAATAACAACTGGGTTATTAACATTAATTTAGTGTAATTATTAAAATGCATAATATAAATATGTGTTCTTAAAGTTATAATATTCTGTTCCGTGTATTTCTTCTTTAAAAAAAGGTAATTATTTTAAAATGCATTTTCCAAAGAAATTGACAGTGATAGGAATCTAAATTACTTTATCATTATTCATTATATGGAGTAGTCCAATAAAGTAGCAGATTATGGACGCTAAACACTGTCATAACTCAGCGTATTATGATCGAGATATTTTTTTCAGGACCATTATCGACGTTTAACTTACTTTCTCAAAAAACAACCATGTAAAATTGGTACCGCAAAAAGTACCGCAGCGCCTTAAATCATATATGACCTGATAGGCGGCAGACGATAGACTCTAGCCACAGTTGTATAATCTGTGCTTTAGCATAGTGGGATAGGCCAAAGTAGAACTCCATCGGTTAAAATTTTAATCACTCTCGTTCAATGGATTTCGAGCTACCTTCCCTACTATTAAATTTGTCGATGGAAACGGCCATAATACTGTTATTTTCCACCTTATTTTTTACTCGTACTTTACCCTTTGAATATTCAAAGCTTTACCACACATCAAACTACAGGAGCTCCATCTAAGTTCAACCACATCAGCTTCTGTGGATCAACTGTTCAATCCTTTGATTATACACGGTGTTTTTTTTTAAGATTGGCCATACGACAATGTAAAGGCGTTGAGTTATTTAAAATGGACCATGGGGAAATTTACATTGCATTAATTGTATCTGTCTTAGCTTCCTAGCGAATCATCTGCCACAGTACTGTAGAAATTGTTTGTAAATCAACAAATTTATTCAAATGAGATATAAACGTATAAAATCGGTGCACGAATTGTTTTCCACCAACAACCAAACAATACCCGATACTCGGCACTGAATAGCTGGCATACCACTCATTTACTGTACCCACTCGATCTTGTACAAATTGTATTACTTACATGAACACCTTTTCGAGCGGCGGAATACATGTTGCTGCTTCGTTGATGTAGTTTGAAGGATGAATAACTAATAACTAAGTGCAAGGCCAAGATTTGAGAACAATTGGCGCAATTTAAATTTCCCCATGGCCCATCTTAAAAAAACACCCTGTATATTAGAGGTTGGCAACAAAGTTCCCGCCGTTTTTTTTTAATTCTGACATATACGCATGTCATCAAATCTTCATCAAATATTTTTGGCAAAACATTTGAATTTATTTGAAAAATGAGGTATTGTTCTACCAAGGTTTTACCGGAAACTATGTTTTGTTTCTTGTTCGATCTAATTTCCGTTAATTGTGGATCATTAAAATGGAATATCAAGTTGTGAAAAATGAACATATTTTCGACACTTCTCCTTTTTGCTAGCTTCTAATGCCGCGATATTAGTGCTGTTTATGGTGACGATGCCATAGCTGAAAGAACTACACGTAATTGGTCTGCCAAGTTCACAATTGGTGATTTTGACCTCAAACACGCACCTCGGCTTGGCGGTTCTGGCCGTCCAGTAGAGATCGATGAAGAGCCCGCCCTCATATTGCCAATATAACCAAGGAAGCCATTCAAGCGTATGGCTGCAGGCTGGTAAGTACTGCCACAACCGCCATTCTCTCCCGATTTGGCACCAACGGATATTCATCTCTTCCTATCTCTATCAAATGCTATGTGTGAAATTGGTGAAATTTCATTTGATGCAAAATTGAGTTTGGTAGGATGAATTTTTTGAGTCAAAACCAGGTGATTTCTACAAAAAACTTGAAGATTAGGAAAAAGTTATATAAACAGCAACGGAGAATACATTTAAGATTAATTAATTGTTAATTTTTTTATTAAAAAAACGGCAGTAACTTAGTTGCCAACCTACTTATAACAATTCAATGCTATAACACTACAATCAAAGGTTCAATTATATGAGTAAAAAACATAGATATTGAAATCTATGGTAAAAAATAAGAGGAAGAGCAGGCAACGGAAAAGGATAAAAAGGAGGTTGTAAGAACGGATGGGGGTACGGAAACGCGCTACCATTGGCAACGGCGTAATAAAACTAAACGAACATCGTCTCTTGCTCTTCTGTTTTATGATAAGTGAAGTCAACTGTCAACGTAACTGACAAGCGCAAAAGAGGTAAGATGATGAAATGATTGCCCCACTTATTTTTTACTGTCAGTTCAATCAATGAATAAAAATAGTGTTTTATTCGATGGTTCAATTCACTCTTATCATTTGTAGTAGATCTCCAATCAACAAAAAATTTACAATTTAGTGTTTGTTCATGGGTTAACAGATCAAAGAAATCAAAGGAAGGGATAGCTATAAACCAAACTTTACTTCAGTATATGTTTTGACTCGTGTTTTGAGTCATTCTATTCTGTCAATTAACTTGTCTTTCCAAAGCTTACTTTTCACGAGTAAAAATCGTAGGTTAAATCATCATAAGTTAAATGCAGAAATAACCGTCCATATTGCATGCAAACTAGGGTAACCCAAGCTATACAGGCAGTACAATGCATTGTAAATATAATTGCTTTGCAATATTTTATTTTAGTGAATAAAGAGATCACAGAACACAAACCATTCACCAAATGTTAATAATAATAAAACATATAAAACATTATTTAGCTATGAAACTATATAACAGTTTTTTGTCTAATAATAATTACAACAAACACTAAAAAAATATAAGCTTTGCATCTGTTGGACTTTGTTCTATTGGACAGTATGGGCATTTCATCCTAAAATTCACAATTAATAAAGTCTGTACATATCAACATATCAACATACTTATTGCCACTACTCAATTTTGTTAAAGCATCTCGTGATATAACGTGCCCGCATAACAAGCGCATTGGCGGGTTGGACTCTGTTGACTGTTGCCTTAAAATTGGACACGCAAACATAGAATGGTATCGCTTATCGGTCCCCAGATCAATTTCGATCTAAAAAGAAATTCGGCATTCGCTTCTTAGTCAGTTATCCACTCACAGGCAGTTCGTCTTTTCCATTCCAAATTCCGGTAACTTGCCTTTGCATCATAACTTGCTTTATATTTAATAAGGCTGGAATTGCTGTGCATCCTGCATTTACACAGGTTGCTAAAGGACTGTCAACACTTACACCTAATAAATTACAAGCGTCTAATGTGAATACTTCATATATCTCTATCCACATCTCGTTGTCTAACATGAAATGATATGGCGAAGAACTGATTCCATTGGGAACAAATAGCAGCATTCCCATCAACATTTGAATGTCTGCAAAATACAAATTTACTTTCAAATCAAAGGAAGTTGTATATGACCAATTTCCAAAAGTACATAATACATACAGACTAAGTCTGCAATGAAATAGTAAAGAATGGACTTAATCTATCTCACTATCTGTATATATTAAGCTTTTTCCCAATGAAATTAATCAACACTTTCGACAAATAAAGATAAATTAGTAACATTTCTTTTAAGACCACTACCATAACTTTCAAGGTAAATAAACCCGTTTATTAGTAGATACCTTTTTCATGTCTCTTAACAAACTGACCAAAATGCAACCTTGCATAAGCTATTGCTTCAGTTTGATATGCAGCACCTTGCTTGAGCAATTCTATAAATTTAAGGCGATGTAGTTTAAATTCCAAAGTCGAATTTATGGCTTCCAGATTATCGTGAAGAGCAGTTGCCCATGCCAAGGCGGGTTCCAATTCTTTATTTTTTAAGCTTTCTAAAATGTGATTCAATTCCATAAATGTTTCGCTACTACCACATTCAATTTTCACCGACGCTTCCTATAAAATGAGAAGTAAACCATGGTGTGGTATAAAATAAACTCACCTTTGCAAGTTCGTTTGCCACATCTTGCATACCCTGACGACAGAAATGTTGATAAACTACTTTATTTAATACAGCTAGTTTTTCTTGCTCATTGAAAATGTCATCACGGCTGGTGACCGCAAAATCTGCTGTGAAATTTCGATCAACCGCCTTTCCTACTTTGGACACTGTGCTATGTAAATCTCTATGATCCGTTGCTAAGCGAGAAACTGTGTCTTTAACTTTGACCATCGCATGCTTCAGCAGACCTGATTGAATTGGAGATAATATATGCCCATCAGGTGCTAAAAAAAAATAGAAAAGCAGTAGAAAGGTTGAAGTCTTTGTTGTATGGCAATATAAGAAAACCATCTACCTGCTTCTAGTTCCAATTTTAAACCTTGGATGTAGGCAATTAGATCACAAAGTGTGCGACTTGCATGTTCTCCAATTATTCCAAACTTGGATAAAACCCGATCAACTTCTCTTTCAACAGCACAACAAGCATCCATATTTGTTTTGTTATGGTTTTCTTGTCATGTTTTCTCAAAAAATGTTTAACCATCAAACTGTCAAAATACAGTATGACGTATTTCCTAGCAAAACACCATAGATCATGTGCCTCATACATACACGGTGTTTTTTTAAAATGGACCATACGAAAATGTAAAGGCGTTGAGTTATTTCAAATGAGCCATACGGAAATTTACCAGAGACTTGCTATAACTAGACTGCGCTTAACGTATCTAAGGTGTTGTCAATGGTGTTGTCGACACAGTATGCAACACACAATGCACCGCGGGGCAAAAATCGCTGAGATGATGTGCAATATAATGAAATAAGCTGTTATTTTAGATGTTCCGTTCATTAATCATTCTCGTGATTAGGTCGAATTAGTGAACAGATAAATTTCTGTTGAGAATAAACCAATAAACTTAGGTTAACTTGTGCCTATGAACATGTACTCTGTCGATAAATTTTTAAATAATATGCTGATTTTCAACGGATAAAAGTTTAAAGGGCCAATGGATCAGAGCCATTCGAAGAGAAAAATTTACTCCCACCATAGTACATTTGCGGGGAATGAAGCCGATTTTAGAAAGGTACCTACGAAGGTGTTAAACAATAATGCAATACCGAGCGTTTTCGACTTTCCCATTCACTTAAAATAACGTAGAACTATTATTCGACATCCTTTACCAGCAAGACAACGGCAATACCTATTTGCCTATTAGGTATAGACGTAACTAAGTACTTACTGGTACTAAGCATATTTCAGGTTTTGTTATAAGAAAAATAGCAAAGTCTGTTAAATGTTCCATATGTGCAGATGCGATATTCGCATCAGAGAGTCATTCAAAGCTTTTAACTAGAAAAAATCGTGGAGGATTGTTGCACGTATCAAGCGATGCATTAAAAATTTGCCAAATTGCTGAAAATGTGTTCAGGTTTTTCATTCAATCCACACCACACCGCGTTGTAAACAAAATGGTTATCAGCAGTCTAAGAAAAATAAATAACAGTTACAGCCCATTTGGGTTTTTGGATAGGCATATATTGAATTAAAATCCGCTAAATAATCATATCTGACTACCTACATCTTTAGTTTTAAGAGTATATTTTCCCATACGTGTTCACCACCAAAATACACATATAAATCAAATTAGGACTAGAGTAAGGCAGTTATATACCAATTTAGTTCAAATAAAATACCAATAAATTCGATTAAAACAGTTAACAGCTATATGTTATCTTTTTTTGCTACTAAAATTTAGAATAAACATGGCTAAAGCAAGCTGTAGAACGTATGTACGTTTGCCCCGCGATGAACAGTTGGTTGCCTATCTTATCTTGACAACAGGCGTTTATAGTAAAATCTACGTTACGCGCGGTCTAGTTAGTCTCTGAAATTTACCTACATATCATCAATTGTTTCAGTCATAGCTTCCTCGCGAATCATCTGCCACAGTAGGTACTGTAGAAATTGTTTCTAAATCAACAAATTTTTCAAATGAGATATAATAACGTATAAAATTACAATCGGTGCTCGAATTGTTTTCCACCGGCAACCAAACAATACCCGATACTCGGCAAATGAATAGCTCGCATACCACTCAGCTACTGTGCCCACTGTTGCTTGTACAAATCATGACCGCGCGAAGTATCCGATGTACCAATTATTCGTCCTTACATTATGCATGTGTCGTAATGCCCACGTACCAATGTATGGGCTCCAACGTCTCATCCTAGCCTAGGATTTGTGTCCCAATGTCTGCGACCTCTAATGTCTGCATCCCAATACCTGCGTTATAATGTCCGCATTCTAATTTCGGCGTCCAAATGTCCGCGGCCTATTTTCTTTGCGGTCTATTGTCTTGCGGCCGTCTGTAGGGCATTTAACTCTCATTCTCATAGTCCGGTGTGTCAAACTAAAACGCCTCCGAATTGCAAAGCGTCGATATTGCAACAACGCTTTTTAAGCATCTGTTTATTTTCAATTTTGACATTTTGTAAGTAACCTATAAATTATAAAAGTGAAAAATATTTTTGTTGACTTGCATTCTCAGAGACCTTTTATTTCTTACTCTAACCTTGGATCTGTTTATTTATAGTAATAGCAAGTTTTTAAATACAAATTATATACTAATTTATAATGACTGACATATTAGCTTCTCATGAGGAATTTGTGACTTTTATAACAGAAAGGGGGGACAGCGATAAGGATAGTTCTGTAAAAGAATATTTAAAAAAGCTAAAGTATCCTCCTATTTCTGATTTTGGGAATGGTAAACTTACCAATTTTCATTTAGGATGAACATAAACCAAACTTTTTTTATAGGATTGGAGTGGTTTAATACGAGCGAACCATTATCGTTTAAGACTCATCTCCGTGGAAAAGTTGTACTTTTAGATTTCTTTACATACTGCTGCATAAATTGCATGCACTTGCTTCCGGAGTTAAAAGAGCTTGAAAAGGAATTCACGATCGAAGATGGACTGGTTGTGGTAATTGTTGTTACTTATATATTTTGGATTGTGGTTGATCTGGCTTTTGGTGATGAGGATCGAAATATGCTTTTGCAAAATTTGTGAAACTTTTTTAGTTGACAACGGCTAACCTAAAACTTCAAAAAATGTAAACGGTTTCTATTGCTAGGTGGCATGTATTTGTAAATATTTGTCTCATAACTCATTACTATACTATATGGGAAAATTTGTACCTGGATGATGATGATGCAATGAGCCTGTTTTGACTAAAATATTTTCAGTTTATGTCTTGGTTTGCCATTAAGGTTGGCTTTTCTTGTGTTTGTGTCGCTAAAACCATGATAAAACTCTTCTGACACTTAATTTCCATGGAAACAAATATATTCACATATTTTTAAGTAGTAAACGAGTACATAGTAACGCAAAGTTAATTTAGCGCTCTCTATCTGCCTACTTAAAAAAAATGCACATGTCTATATTAATTAAATATTCGATACAACATTGACTGCAGTGTGTAACCTCGAAGTCCACTGATAATGGTGATAACAATTAGTTTTCAACTAAACTATATTATCACAGATTTAAATATATTTAAATCTGTGATATTATCTACAAATACGGTGTACATACATATAATTCGTGTTGATGGATACTAGTTCCAAACCAACACCATGATGGCGCTGGAGAACTATCTCATAAAGTCTCTATACAGGGAATTTTTCTTAAATGGGTACATATGGGCTATGTATAAAAAAACGGATCAAACGCATGGAATCATGATACTAGTATCACGGCATGGAACCACTGAACCATAATTACAATGAATTATAATGTTAATAATATAATATTATACTTATGAGTATTTATATAGTTCAGCGCATGGAGCAGATGACTGTAGGCAACCAACATTACACGCGACAAACTGGGCTGTTTTTACAGTTCTTAAACTGTTACCACTTTCCTACCACGTTAATATTTCAACCTTATCGTCTTTGCTATACATATTTGTGTAAAAAAAATCAGAATTTGATGCTAATAATTAAAATAAAAACTAATAGCGAACCCTAATTTAACATTAAATAATCAATCTACCGTTTCCATAGACGCTGATTATCCTTTATAAAATTATTACATATTCGTGTAGAGTTGGTTGCCTATTTGGTACACATATTCTTATACATAAAGGGGCGGAATCTAGCATGTGCAAGTGATATCTATGCGAGCTACAGCAAATTTCTCTATTTGTGAAGATATTTTCTTTAATTTTAGGCCATAGCTTTTTATAAAGGCATACAGAGTTTCCATGGGAAAACATAAATGAGATGTAGCCCCCTTATTTTTGAAATTTTCAATCATGAGTACCTTTAACATAGGCAACAAAAAGCTCATTTGTAACGTTCCATTGTTCAGTTCAAGTTTTATGGCCGTTTGCACCGACCAATTTAAGTGGAGCTTAGCTTAAGCGTAGCTTAAAATCCATGGCAATTATTATTGAGACAATGGTTGCCATGGAGCTTAAGCTAAGCTCCGCTTAAATTTGTCGGTGCAAACGCCCATTTTAACAAACAAATGAATTGAAGGTTGCCAACAGGCTTTGTTTGTGAAAATTTGACGCTGATTTTATACTAAACCTCATAGTTAAAAATTCTATAGTAAGCGTTCTCCATCACATTTCTAGCAGAATGTCATTGAATTTCTTTATGGGTTTGATCTCACAGACCCTTATTTGTATCTGGTAAGAATTTCCCAGTTATGGGGATACGCTTATTTGTTTCAGAAGTCGTTATACACCCTGATACAGCGGCCCACTAGCATATTGCCTATTGACCTGCTTAAATAGTAGCTCCAATAATCAAAGAACTGCTTGCACAATGCACAACTCTTAGACCTACAATCCAAATGCTGAAAATATTATTAATTAGATGTATGCTTCAAGTCTGAACGTTCTAATCATTTCAGGTGGGAGTCCATAGTGCAAAATTTGCGAATGAAAAAATCTCTGCAAACATTATGGCTGCCGTTCAAAGATATGGTATTACTCACCCGGTTGTTAACGATCACAAATCATCTATGTGGAAGAGCTGTAATGTAAATTGCTGGCCAACGTTATTATTAATAGGTCCACAAGGTGTACCGATCATCATGTTAATGGGCGAAGGTAACAATGAAGATCTCCGACTTTGTATACGAAACGCATTAGAATTTTACAAATCGAAGAAACTGATCTCTAATCACAAAATTCCATTAGAGTCTGTATTTCACTATTTACCGGAATCGAAAGGCCCACTCCTCTTTCCCGGAAAGGTTACTTATTTTCTTGATCGACCAACTAACTATGAATTGATCGCCATTTCTGATACCGGTAATCATAGGATACTTGTCATTAACAGTGGGGGCAACATAATTCATGAAATAGGAGGAAATGGTAACGGACTTAAGGATGGAAGTTTCACAGACGCCCGGTTCAATTCACCACAGGGACTTGTTTTCCAGAGTTCTTCCACTATATTTGTGGCAGATACTGAAAATCATGCAATTAGGAAGATCAATTTAGACCTGAAGACAGTTACGACAGTAGTCGGCACTGGAGAACAAGGCAACGATTATAAAGGTGGGAACGAGGGGCCTGCTCAACTTATCTCATCACCGTGGGATGTTTGTATTTGCAAAACGAAATCTTCAACTTCGACAGAGTTCCAAGAAATTCTATTTATCGCCATGGCTGGATTGCACCAAATATGGGCCCTCTTTTTAGACTGTATGGGTTGGTGGAAGAATCGCTATCACATTGAAAACACATGTTCGGCAATTGCAGGATGTGGCCGAGAAGAGAACAAAAACAACAACTACCCATTTGCGGCAGCATTTGCGCAACCTTCGGGTTTATCTCTTTGTGAAAAAGATAATGTAATGTATGTCGCGGATAGTGAAAGTTCCAGCGTGAGAAAAATTTTCTTGGCAGACGGAAAAGTTAGTGCGGTTGTTGGAGGAGATCTCAATCCATTGGTAATATATATTGATCATAAACTTTCTACCATATCGTTGCAGGATGTACAGTTATTGACAAGAGCAATGATCGCTTAATTAATTGCACAATATATTCAAATGTTGGTTGCTTATGCTGCTGGATTTACCTATTTGGCGATCATTACTTTCGTCAATGACTGTACGTACATATATTTACCTATATTTACAATTGTTTAAAGGAACTTTATCTATTCTTTCTTGTTTTTTTTTCACTTGCTTCGATCCACGGTGTTTTTCTTTTTTAATGACAGTGTGACCTCATCGTTTCATGTTTTTCTTGATCTTTCTCTTCCTTTTGCTTTGTATGTCACACTTGTCGGATTCTGTAAATTTATTTTGAAATGTTCACATCTGTAAACCCCAGTTTTAATTGATAGGGTAACAACCTACATGTTTCTTTGCTCATAACTGCTCTTTGCGTTATTCCACCCTGTATGTTGTAAGATCGTTGGTATATGGCTATTAGCTGTGTAGATTTCTATTTTTGAAATTTTCTGATAATGTTCTTTTATCACCTTTTCTAAATATAACAATTCCATGCATGTTTCCGTTCCTTTGCTAACTTTCCAAATAGTTCATTAATTGTTGCGTACCGTCGCCCTTTCCTGAAACCAGTCTATACGTCATCCAACTGTTTTTTTACTAATAGACATGTTCCATTTGCCTCGAATTTGCCTTTTCAATCAACCAACCTATGGTACATTAATACCAAGATTAATACAGTATTATGCATGTATCTCTCTTTGCTGTTTCAGAATCTTTTTTCATATGGTGATAAAGATGGAAAGCGGCACGAGGCGAAATTACAGCATGCCCTTGGAGTCGCCGCTTCAAAAGTAGAAAGTGTAGTTTTTGTTGCTGATTCGTATAATCACAAAATAAAGCGTATTAATGCTACGGATAATACAATATCAACACTTCATCTTAGTAACTTTTCAACTTTTAATGAACCAGGTGGGCTTTGTTTATCAACAGATGAGACCAAATTGTACGTTGCGGATACAAACAATCACGCAATAAAAGTTTTGCACGTGGACAAGGATTATTCTGTGACAAATGTAACAACATTAGACATAACGTTTCCCCCTGCACACATCTCTTCACCTCCAGAAGAGTCTGTCAAAGATATATTTATGTCAAAGAATCTATTTGTGAATCCCAAAGGTGGCAAATTAAATTTACTTCTCAAGATAGACTTGATTAATGGGTTAAATCTAACTAAAGGAGCGCCACAGGGTTGGAATGTTGAGCTACCTAATTCAACATGGTTTTGTGCTCCATCATCCGGTACTGATGTATTAAATGTGGATGCTTTACTAACTATTCCTCCCACTGACTTGGGGACTACTTACGTTGATTTTGTTTTTAATATAATGGCTTGCAAAGATACCATGTGTATACCAAAAAAATTCGTAATCCGTCAACCGATTGAGTTTTCCCCAGTGAATACCATGGCAAGAAAAATTGCATTGTATGTACTTGACCAATCGAGTATTCAACAACAGTATTGAGGTGTGTGTCATGTTTCACATTTTTATTGAATTTGACAATTTGTAACTTTTTTTTTGAAAATATGTTGACATTAATAAAAGCTAATTTTGTGTTACGCCTATCTTATTGGATACTGAACAGAACAGCAGCTGCAACTTACTTAAAAGTGTGCCCATGTTAATGAGCTAAAACAAGAATATGTTTATGTGAGCAGGTTTGAGATAATTATTTGGCAGGGAAGCATTTTTGGCTCAATCTTTAGTGCACAGGTCTTATTATCCTGATGGTATTGTTTAGTCAACAATGGAATGAGTAGCTTAGTTAATGTACTGGTATGAAAAAAATTATTGCTGATCTGATCTATAATAAGCTAGAAAGAAACCCAATAAGCATTATATAAGTGAGAGAGACATAACTTTACTGACGTTGACTCAGTAGTACCATATATCCAGCCTATAATCAAAAGATGCTTAAAAGGCATCAGTGCTTTTAGTTTGCTGTGTATTCTATCTCACTTTATACTCATGTAATGCTTATTGGGTTTCTTTCTAGCTTATAAGTCAGACTGGATGCGCAATAGAAATAATTTAAATTGCTGCCATGTTTTCGGACGTCCTCGTACGTACGCGCGAAACATACAGGGTGTCCCTAAAAGGTCTGTACAACGCGCTACCAGGGGTTCTTAGTACCAAAATAGGACGATTTAACCCAACTTACCTCTATCCAAAAGTGCTTCGGTAAGGCGCTATCTACCGCCAAAGATTTAAAAAAAAATCGTTATTTTCATTTTATCGGAAAATGGTTTTGCCGATTAAAATGAAATTCGGGATGTGAATGTCTAATGTAAAAAGGGTCTTTGTGATATCATCGTTTTGATTGTAGTTGCTATGTCGGTGGTAAAATACTGACCATCCACATATGAAGAGGTCTAAAACTTTTTTACTACAATTTTGACGGTTCTGAATTTTTAGACACTGATAGACAGTTTACTTGCAAGCATTGTTTGTCTCTTGATGAATATCGCTATCTGTGATGGTTTACGAAAAAAAAAAAAATTTAGGCATTATGAATGGCATGCACCATACATGCGATTGTTCCTCAAAAAATCAGAAGATGGCTGTGAAACCTTAGAGTGGCGTAACGTTTGTTGTTGTTTAACAATTTACCAGCACTGCTCCTTATAGCATTATTACACCAGAGGTATAACTTCTCGGTACTCAATTTTAGCATTGAATAAATTTATTCAAAAATTTTAGTGCCAGAGTGGACCTCGTGGATGAGTAATTAGTTAACATTTGCTCTAAAAATGGGTCAATTACCAATCGGTCACATACCTAATAATGCACTTTGCTGCATTCTTAAATTCTAAAAGGCGGATTCAAATCAAATCCGAATTGGGGCTGTGTATCATCCAAATGCAAGTTGTAAAAATGTACTGTGGCTAGCAGATACCATGCGCATGCGGGATTCTGCTCAAAAGATTTTCAGCTCTTCCTTTTATGTCTAATTATGGACCAAATTTAGTTCCAATCGGTTTAGCCGGCAGTGAGGATACAGACCGATTTTGTTGGGTTCGGATTCTTTGTGTATTCCGCCAAAAAAGCGGGGCATCATTTTTTCCCCAATGCAATACCTCCCTTTACTAACGTGCAGGTGGTAAAAATACATTGAATATGATATCTAGGTAGGCTCAGACTCTTTAATTTATTAGACAAAACGTTTGCAATGTCAAGTTGTGACCATTGTGTTTGTAGTGGTGTGCTACCTCAGTACTGAACCCATGAAAAAATGGGTTCAGTTAGGTGATTTTTGGCCACAGAACACTACATAAACAATATGTAGTATATTTACTTACACACAAAATAGGTGGTAAGTGAACAAATGTTCCAAACAGTTGGTATAGTTTGAGGTTCTTAGGTTGTAAACTATGCTCACCAACAGGCCACTCTCAAAATTTTCCTCAGCAACTAGATATTTCGTAGGGTTCAATCTTGTATCAAACGTAGCATTTTCAGCTTTCATGTATAATTATTAAAACGGGAAACAATATAAATCTATTAGAAATAAAATGTATTACTTTCACCCATGTAACTTAAAATGCTCATTTATTTTGAACATACTAACAGAGAACTCAAATTTCAGCTATTTAATTCATTATTCTTATGATGCGATTCCTGCAGCCTTTTCTAATTCTTTTAATTCCCTTTCAGATGCAAATTTCCTTTCTTCGGCTAATTTTGCATCGCGGATGGCCTTTTGTTTTCCTTCTACTTCCCTTATCGCTGCTTCCCTTTTGGACAGCCTACTTTGATGGAACAGTCCATATAAAATTCCTGTAGTAAGTAAACCCCATCTTCCAAACTAAAAATTCATGTTACATAAGACAACACCTAACCTAATTTGTACGTGTATATTTTACCTTAATCAAAGGGGAAACTCGAACAGGTGCAGCTAAATCGGCCATTTTAATTGTTAATTATAAAATTTCTTGCGTGAAATAATTTAAAAAGTGAGATTTTATGGATCAAAGTTGACTTGATTTTTGGGTTTGGGAACGATCGGCATATGCAAACTTGCCAACCTAACAAGTACTACACATACAGAGCTAACATACATTTTTGGCACTTTTCCATGTTATCACGATGGAAATCCAAGAGGATTCACTAAAAATTATCCCAAATCAATCGCTTGAATGGGATTGATTTCACGTAAATTATATCAAAGGAAATGTACGTACATTCACGGTACAGTCATTCTGAATAATGGTAAAATTTTAAAAATCCGCATTTGATTCAAAATAGGCAATCTATATATCTTATAGTTTTTTTACATATATGATCTAAGAAAATTAACCTGTCGGTTAACCTATAAACAACCATTTCCCGTTCCCGGTAATCGTTGTCAACCTGTATAATATAGTCCCGCGACTCGTAGTGTAATATAGCTCAACAACTGTCCTTTAGCAGCGCCCATGCCCCATTATATAATTTTGGTGGTTGCAAAAGCACAATTCAGAGGTAAGTTATGTTTATATGGTGACTATAAAATTTATAGGGCAAGGTTTAAAAATGAAACGATTCAAATAGGTAATATCATATTTGTGATATGCATATTTATTATTTTAAAAAGTATCGAAACTTACCGGAACATCATCAATATTAAATATAACGTTCACATCTGTATTAATTAAATATCAAATTACAAGAAGCCCTTTTCAGTTTTACTTACCCTGTATACGATTCGCTTCTTTTCTAGTGACTTTCCCTTGCTTTCGTTGGCATCGGCGCATTCATTTTTTGTTCAGATGACGTAATGTTATCTCTCTATCTAACGCGTTTATACAAAGGTAAAGCCACACAGAAAATGATTAGTCCGCGCACAAGAAACGAGCAGGGAGAGTGTGTACGCAGGTGAAGTTTTTGCTCGTTTAGCTCGTTTTGACATTTACAAAGTCAACAAAAAAACATGGCCTTCGCAGCCGCAACTCTATCGGTGATCGGTTCTTTATTTGTAACGCCTTTGTTGATGTTAATTTTGTGCATAATATTTCTGGCTTCAATTGGCAAATCTTTGGGTGTCAGACGATTATATGTGAAGATTCTTTTGATGATATTTGAGGTAAGTGCGACTTAATACCACCTACTGCATTTTTACCCCCTAAGTTAGTAGGTACTATTGTCACTCACAAGTCACACGGTTGTTTTTTTGCAACGCAATTTTTGGTAGTGCTTTTTTAGAACTGCCTAATGATTGGCTCAATTTGAGAAATTTAAATATTACCGCTTTTGAATTAAAAATAACCGATTTCACAAATTTTCCCATAGTGTAATAATATTCATGCACTTTGTGTGTGTTTTTTATCTATCGTATTGTATCGAGTGATGGGTAAAACATGCTCGAAAATTGAACTTTGCCTGGCCACTAATCTCAATTGTGATGTTTCATCCCCTTCATTTTCTCGTATTAGATATTCACACTCATATTAGCTATTGGAAGGTTAACCACGCTTATTTTACGTTAAGTAGACAACTAACATTCTGTGTTCAGTTCTTGTTATTGGTTTCATAAGTCATGTCTCGGGTGTAACTTTCCCTTATTAACTATGTATCCCAATTTTCACTTTCGCATGTTTAAATTCAAACAAACGACAGAACATAACATCCGTTTTACATATTCTTAACCATAATTATCACACAATTGTATTAACAAATTGGACACTGAGACATCAGCTGATCACTATTTATATTACCGCCAACAGCTTTTTTTTTGTTGTGGCCATTGGCCAAACTATAAAAAGGTATATGCATCTCTCTTCCAAGTTAACGTACGAATTTCTTTCTCTCTGTTATGGTTCAATTGGAACTACATAATTTAGTTACGCCTTATCATTGGAACTAATAAAGAATTGCGAAAGTACCTAGGAAATTACCATAAACCAGCAAACAATTTGGTAGCATCATCCTGGACATAGCCGAGGATATAGCAGTAAAACTCCAAAAATGAGTTGCTATCAAGTCGCCTGTGGAGTTTTAAGTTAAGTACCATTTTCCGTGTAAACAAGCATTCCAAAGGTGACTAAACAGCAACTCATTTTTGTGCTATATCCTCGGCGATGTCCAGGATGATGCTACCAAATTGTTTGCTGGTTTAAGGTGCATCGCAAATATATTTGTACCTCGATTTGTACATACAGGATGCCCCATAAATGTTGAGACAAATGTGGTATGTCTAGTAATCCAGACGCGCAATAAAATAATTTGGCGTTAACAGTAGATTATTTATGATCCCAGTATTTAAGGCAATTTCACTGGCATAGTGGGTGTATTTATACACTGATTCGAGTCCTGCTTGGATTGGACATATTAACCAATCACGTTTCATAACACTAGGATTAGGATGAAATCCGAATCAAACGTGTTTGTGCAACCAGCTCATGGAACGTTATATTCTATACCTCGTTGTACACAATAATAAATAAGATAAGATAATAAATATTGTTCTAAACATTTTTCATACTTCTTGTTAAGCGTGCATATATGTACTTTGTAGTAAATTTGCAGGCCGTGACGAAATCGAGGCCTGTAATTACGAATACTCCCAAAACATTTTTATGGG